GGGAAAGAGGCTCCTCCTCCCTCTCCTGCCTACGCATTTAATTTACACACATAAATAAATGAATTTGCTAAGAATACATTCTATGAAATATACATGGTGCCCAACAATTAAATAAAGGACGAGCAATGCTTAAAACCTTTTGGAGAATATTCGTAACAACATATATAAAAGTCAAAATCATTAAGGGTTAGATCCGCTTTTGTCAACTTTTACCGATTTTTCATTGTATGTGTTCTCCAATATTTTTCATTCATACAGAGCCACTTAACTTCAAGTGCTAGAGATTTGCAAATGTACAAAAAAAAATTGAATAGTTTTCGTAAATAAACATTTTTCACTTGCATATCATTTCCCATTTTTTTATATTAAATTATAATATATAATATATTTATTATATAATATAAGAACAAAATTTATTAGAGAGAATTTTTTAAGAAAATCCTCGAGTCTCAATAAAATTTCTATGATAATTCACTGATTTTTCCAGTTAGAAAAGAAATCCCTGAGAATTCTAGGCTTTCCAGGAAGTAGATATTCCGAGGGGTTGGTCACTGAGGTAATTTTTGTACAAGGGCTAGGTAATCGTATACCTGACCTTGTGAGCAACGAAAATAAATGAAACAAATATAATATAAATTTTTTATTGTCAATGTTGACATATTACAAAATTGTTAGACATTAATCGGTGGAATCAATAATACCCGTGCAAGATGCCGGATGGTACTGATCGTAAAAACAATGAAAACATAAATTTTTAGCACATCTTGGGGGAAATTTGGAATTATATCTCGTACTTGAATTCGAAATTGTTCTGCTGAAGCCAAAATTTCTTCCATCGTAACGGTCTCTCTTTCACTCACGTATCTCGTAATTTTTCGTTGTCGAATCCTGTGCTTTCGCTTGAATCTTTTCACCCAGAAAGGAGAAGCTTTGAAGTCGAAGTTTTCAAATTGACTTGCAGCAGCCAAAGCCCACTGTTGCAGGTTTCTTGTTGTGACTTGTTGTAAATTTTCTCGAGCCTCCATGAAACGATCATGCGTCCAAGAATCAATAGTAGAATACTTATCGATTGTTGTTCCGCCCTTTTTAATATGTTCTTCCCACCTCTTCAAATCCTTCATGCTCTTTAAACGGCTACATCCTTTTTTCTGAAGATTTGCTATACTCCAATTAGGATGTTGTTTCGCAATATTTATAGCTTTTATTTTATAATCAAGCGAAATATACTCCGTTTGTTTCACTTTCTTTTCATCCGGTTCATATTCATCAGAATCATCATCTTCTAACTCCCGGAAAGAATATTCTTCGTCAGCTTCGTGTATCGCTATTAATTCTTCATCGCTGATTAATTTTTTTTCGGCGATCATTTGTACAGTATTGTGAAACATTTCTTCTCCGATAAGCATCGATTCATAGGAAATCGTCGAAGGTGGTTCTACTGTGACCAGATTATTTTCCTCCAGAAGTTTGTCCATGTAAACCACGGCGCCTTTCATCTGAAGTTTCGCAAATTCTTCTGGTAGCGAAGATTCGTTATCCTCACTATTTCCCGCGAGCGAATCTTTTTCTTCGTAACTTTTCGTTGGAGAATCAGATGTTGACTCCATCTTTTAAATTTTTATTTTTCGGCACTGCTTAAAAACGTCCACCTTCTACTGTCGAAACTAATGGTAGACTGATGACTGTTTCAAACAACCAAAACTCTTTTCTTTTCTTCGATCCCCTCCACTCACTTTCACAAAACA